ATTTCTAATTTTTTCTATTCAGCTTTAATTTAGTATATACAGTAATTGCACGCTAACTATATAAAATATTATAAAGTAAAAATAAATATTAATAACCACTATATAGTATAAATATGATTTTTTTTAAAAAAAAATTGTTTAAGCTTTTAAGCAATTTAATCTTTTTTTATAATAAAAAATTAAATATTTTAAAATTTAAAAAAAAAATTATAACCAATGTTTAACAATTTTTTAAACAAATTTGTTTCAAATAAAAATTTTTATTTAATGTTTGTATTTTTGATCTAATTATTCTCAATTACCATTAATTTAATATTATTCTATGTATTAATGTAATATAATTTTAAATACTGTATAATAATCCAGAGCCCATATACTATATAGACTGCATTCTAAATCAGCTTCAACTTAAGAATGTTATATAATGGCTTTTTTTTTTTTTTAAATAACTTTAGGAACATACACAATAACGTTTTATCTTTATATAATATAATAAATACGAGCCAGTGGGCGTTTCGGGATCACAGTTTATTATCGTTATATTAGCAGTTTTAATTTGAGGTAACTAACTAAGCCGGCTTAACCGTATCGAATTACCGACTCGCCTAAGCTTATAAGCTTTAATCGACTACAATCACTAATTGCCGATGTCAGATATGCTCTAACGGAATAGAATAATTATAATTTTAATTTTAACAATGCGAAAATATGCGATTGTAAGATGTAAAAATAAAACATACGTTGTTTTCAAGCCATTCAGCAGCTTGAATTAAAGCATTAACATGTTGGCTGAGCAGTAATGAATACTAAAATTAATATAACTATAGAATTTGTAATATCCAAATGCAAGAAAATTAAGCACTAACCTAAAACAGGCTTGTAAAAACGATCGCTCTATCTTTTCAGCATTCAGTTTGTAAGTTCCTTTGACAAGTGTCGATGGTGTGGTTTGTTTCATGAAAGGATTCTCGCTAAACGCACGTGCGCTATATTTTTCATATTTTGGCTGTTCTAAAAAAGTAATAAGCTGTGAACATGAAACTTTAATAGCGTTGTGGTAGCGAAAATATATTTACCTGGAAGTGCTCGGATTTCTTCTTCATCTAACTGACGACTATTTTTTCTCTTTCGAGTTGTATAAGGTCGACCTTGAAACGTTCTCCAGGCAGACGTTGAGTAGTTTTCATTATTGCCGTTAGCATAGGTTCTCTTAATCGTTTTGTGCGGTGTCAACGTTGAAGTTGAAGAACCCTCACCAAAGTCAAACGAATATGGCCTATTTGGCCTTGACTGACGCGAAGGAAATCTGGTGCTTGATCTTGATCTTTCCGCTATCACCTCGGGAGTCAGAATTTCCGAAGGGAGGGAAAATTCTTTTTTTGCACAAATAGTATCAAAATCAATAAGCTTAAAAAGGGTGGGACTGTACACATTAGGCTTTTCCATTGCTGATATAACTTGCGCGTTATTAAAATATCACTATACGCAAGATTTTTGAAGATTCGAAAATCATAATATTTTTCCCTTAAAAATTATTGTACGAACGCACGTACTTGCGTACGGCATTTAAAAATTCGGTGCTTAGCGCCTATACATGTATAGCTAACTAGGTTAATCAATTATCGTATACGTACGTACGTACAACTTTGTGTTATGGTTATAGAAATACCCAAAGTATTGTCAACTGGAAAAATTTTACCGGAATATATCGATATTATTACAAGTAGTCAATAATATTATCCAATAAAACGAATACATTTGCACATGACTTTTTATAGAACACGACATATCATTTGTCCGATATTTATTTCTTCGACGACCGAAAATATTCCCTCCAACCACCACCACCCACGGCACAAATTGTATCACGGGTAGTGGTAGTTTGTTGAAAAATGAAAGTATTGGGAAAATGTTAGTTTGAGAAA